TGTGTTTAAGGGCCGTTTAGATGCAGTGCTGAGGGACATGGTGTAGGGGAGGACTTTGTAGAGTAGGGTAGATGGTTGGACTCGATGATCCCAAGGGTCTCTTCCAACCTAGACAATTCTATGATTCTATGATTCTATGAAATGCAGTGGCCCTAGCTGTAGGGCTGAGGGGTAACATGATGATGGATCTGTAAGGACATTAAAGAACCAGGACAGGGAACTGCACTGCTGCCTTACACGCTCCATCTCTGTTTCAAACAAAAGAAATTTTCAGTATTGTGTCCAGTTTTGGGCACCTCAATACAAGAGAGATATTGAGGTGCTGGAGCGAGTGCAGAGGAGGGCAACGAAGCTGGTGAAGGACCGATTGCTGTTTGGAGGGGATCTGTAAGGACATTAAAGAACCAGGACAGGGAACTGCACTGCTGCCTTACATGCTCCATCTCTGTTTCAAACAAAAGAAGGTTTAGAAATGCAATGGTCCTAGCTGCAGGAGTACAGGCTTGTAGGGCTGAGGGGTAACATGATGATGAGAAGCACTGGCTTTTAAAGTGGGACACCAGTTTACATGGAAGAAAGCAGTCTACATCCCTCCAAACTTACCATGTCAAATCAAACCATGTATTTTTTATAGTTGGAGATACAAGTCTTCAGGCTCACATTTGCCAGGAATGTATTTGGACCGGTACAGGTATGGGTGGTGGCTGTGGCAGCTTCTCTGTCCCACTCTCTGCCAGTGTGTCCTAACTGCACGCTGGGAGGTTGAACATTAGGAAGGAATTTTTCACCGAAAGAGTGGTCGGGCATTGGAACAGGCTGCCCAGGGAGGTGGTGGAGTCACCGTCCCTGGCTGTGTTTAAGGGCCGTTTAGATGCAGTGCTAAGGGACATGGTGTAGGGGAGGACTTTGTAGAGTAGGGTAGATGGTTGGACTCGATGATCCCAAGGGTCTCTTCCAACCTAGACAATTCTATGATTCTATGATTCTATGAAATGCAGTGGCCCTAGCTGTAGGGCTGAGGGGTAACATGATGATGAGAAGCACTGGCTTTTAAAGTGGGACACCAGTTCACCATGTATTTTTTATAGTCAGAGATACAAGTCTTCAGGCTCACATTTGCCAGGAATGTATTTGGACCGGTACAGCTATGGGCGGTGGCTGTGGCAGCTTCTCTGTCCCACTCTCTGCCAGTGTGTCCTAACTGCACGCTGGGAGGTCTCAAGAGGAGTCCAGTCTCCATGGCTCGTTTGATCTTTGCTATTTCCAATTGTGCCTCAAGGAAAGAACCAGTACAAAATGTAGAGGGTTTCTGGTGGTAGAAATATGTCTTGCTAGCAATTTGCCATCCCCAAACACAAAGCTTCCCAAGCAGCCAGCAACGACACTCAAGTAACAGCAACTTAGTCTAGGAGGACTGGAGTCCTCTAGAGTGGTTTATTCTGTGCACACGAGTAATTTAGGTCAGTCATTGGCAGTTGCCAGCCTTGACAGATTAGTTGTGATGTTACTTCATGGTGGTCACTGTCTAGCCATGCCCAACTCCCACAGAGCCCTCTTAAGCCAGAGCTCAATCATTGCCAGCTACTCTTAGGTCTCTCCACATCTCTGATGATTCACGTAGGTGATCTATAAAGTTGTTGCTTCTGCTCATCAGGTGTGCTGCAGGTTCCTTCTGGGCTGACAGTCTTTTCTTATGCCCTATAGCCTCCAAAACAGGTTTTTTAGAGCATGTGGATATTGCCCCCCCTTGTCCTGAGGTCATCTGTGTGGTGGTGTAGTTGTCCCAGCTCCTGTATGACAGAGTCCTTCTTGCTATCTGGTGACTCTGCTGGGGCCAGTGCCAGCATCCATGGTCCCATCCTTTTGCTTAATGAACTTGTTGCTCTGCCAAGACCTAAGCAGACTATGAGGCTGGCATGTTATAGCTTAATGTTGATGCTCTTGATTTCAGATTTCCACACTGAAGATAACTTTGGAAAAAGCTCTTGGCCTTATGCATTTCTGTGTTGCCTTGTATAGCCTAACATTTCCCGTTCCTCTTCTAAAATGAATATAAGTGCCAGAGCTCACAGGAGTCGTTGCAACAAGATTGTGTCACACTGCACTCTCAGTCTGTTCTGAGGGAATATATTTTTATTTCAGCCAGGGCTCCAACTCCCATCTGCACCACAAGTGAAGAAGGAAGGATTCTTGTCTGGCTGGTACACAGTAATATATCTAGTCTATTTAATGTTATCAGTCTGACTCTCTCATAGGAGTCTGAAAAACTGGACACTCAGCCTTTGAGCAGAGCAAGAATGGTTTAAGCTAAGATCTATACATTGCCCAGAGTAGCATAGGAAGGTGGCATGTAATAAACACCATGATGGCATTTTATATTGTTTTTATATATATATATAAACCCCATGTACATATAACATATATATGTATAAAAAACACTTTATACTGTTAACTTGAGCAGAGCAAGAATGGTTTAAGCTAAGACCATACTTGCCATCTAGACGTTGCCCCGAGTAGCATAGGAAGGTGGTGTGTAATAAACATCATGATGGCATTTTATATTGGTTTTTTATATATATAAAACCCCCGTGTATATATAACATATATACGTATAAAAAACACTTTATACTGTTAATTTACACATCTCATTACCAGGTGAACAAGGGGAGCTGAGAAGGGTTGGTGGGTTGGAATGAACAGAAGAGATGTTTTCAGTTGTCAGGCTTTTCCTTTAAACAGAGAATGGCGTTTGTGCTACGAGGCAGTAGCCTTCTCTAGACGTCACTGAAATGGGTAGATGTCAGGAGGTTCAGTTCCGGCACGAAATCTCAGCCAAATGGTTGAAGTACGACAACTGAAAGTAAGCTTTTGAACTGGGAGTTGTTGGGCAGTATTAGAATACACATTATCGCTGCCATTTTTAGCAGGGCCATTAGCAAATCCATGCTTAATAGAACCTGCATTTCAGTACAAGTTGGAGGTATATTTTACAATTAGTGTAAGGCTCATTATTCATTCCATTGACATCGAAACTAAAAATGTTATGACTCGAGTTCTGTTTCTTGGTATCTCACCTCAGTGTACCCTTACAGCACGTGCGGGAGAGGGGCACCTTGCCTGTACCCCTGGCACTGGGTTTTAGAAGATGAGAGTGGCACTGGGCAGCAGCCTGTCCACGGGGGAGTATAGCTCTGTGAAAGGAGGATTTGCTTCTGTGGCCCTTGAAAATGTACTAGGAGATATCCTTTTCTTTCTTCTTGCAGAAACATTAAATGCCAGAGTTTAAGGAAGTGATAAAGTTTTCTGTAAATTTCCATTTTGTACAAAATGTACTGTTCATAGACTTTTTCAAAGTGAGGGTGGGCCCTAAAGAGTTCAGATACCAATCTCAGATTGCAAAGATAAGTGAATTTTAAAAGTTCTCCAGATCTTTAAGCTATCCTCTTCTGGTTTTAGGGTTTTCTTCCTACTTGTAGAAAATCCAAATTATATCTTAAGACCATATGGCATTTGCTCTGATTAAGAAAAAAATATTTCTTCATAGCTTTAGAAAGGGAAATAAAATCCCATTTCAACTGTAAAACATGGTGGCTTGTGGAGTGTGGAGTGCCTGCTGGCTTCCTTGCTGATTCTGGCCAGCAATGAGGAAATACCGCTAAGGCAGTATTGACCAGCATTACCTTAACACTCCACAGGGTCAAGGCAACTGATACACTTCAAATTCTTCTTACTTCAACTGGCATGGATTGTATATAACCTGCATATGGTGCCTGATGGATCCTAAGGATGGGGACAGAGGTGAGAGGCAAGGAGAGACAGACAGTACTCTTTCTTCAGAGTAGGTCTAGGAGGGCAATACCAGCCTGCTGTCTCATGTCTAGTCCAGGATGGAGGAAGCCTGCATTTTGTCTGAATTATGTGCATTGCCCTTGTTTATCTAAAAGATACATTCTTCTTGTTTCTGGACTTGGCAGGAAGTTCAGCAAGGTACCTGTAGGCCACCTGTACAGGAAGTTCAGCAAGGTACCTGTAGGCCACGTGCTCACTTTGCCATTTCTCCAAGCTAGTGTCAGTGTCTCTTTCTCTCAGATCCTCAACCTTACAGGTGGACATGAGCTTGCTCCAGTCACTCAGGCCCAAGCAGCTGCTCCTGTATGTGTGCCTCTGTAAGAGAGTCACAGCTGCAAGAACATACAGACTCTCAGAGTGGATCATGTGCAACCACAAGCTAAGAATTTGTGGTTGCCAGTGTGGTTGCTCTGCTATCTCTTCATCCCATATGAGGTTACACAGGTTGAGAGTGATGCTAGATAAATGTACACAACTTATTCCCAGGCAGTTCTCTTCATGGTGTGTTTTGCTTGTTCCCTGTGCTCTCACAGGTCAGCTATGCCTCATCCAGTCGTCTCTTGAGCAATAAAAACCAGTTCAAGTCATTCCTCCGCACGATCCCCAATGACGAGCATCAGGCCACGGCGATGGCAGACATCATCGAGTACTTTCGCTGGAACTGGGTGGGAACAATTGCAGCTGACGATGACTATGGCCGGCCAGGGATTGAAAAGTTTCGGGAGGAGGCGGAGGAGAGAGACATCTGCATTGATTTTAGCGAGCTCATCTCCCAGTACTCGGACGAAGAGGAGATCCAGCAGGTGGTGGAGGTCATCCAGAACTCCACAGCAAGGGTGATTGTTGTTTTCTCCAGTGGCCCAGACCTGGAGCCCCTCATCAAAGAGATCGTCAGAAGAAACATCACCGGCAAGATCTGGCTGGCAAGTGAGGCCTGGGCCAGCTCCTCCCTGATAGCCATGCCGGAGTTCTTCCGTGTCATTGGCAGCACCATTGGGTTTGCACTGAAGGCAGGACAGATCCCAGGCTTTCGTGAGTTCCTGCAGAAGGTGCATCCCAAGAAGTCCACCAACAATGGCTTTGCCAAGGAGTTTTGGGAGGAGACATTTAACTGCTATCTCCCTGATGGGTCCAAAAATTCTCCAGCTTCAACTTCCTTCCACAAGGGCCATGAAGAGGGACTGGGAGCTGGAAACGGAACAGCTGCCTTCCGACCTCCATGCACAGGGGATGAGAACATCACCAGTGTGGAGACACCATACATGGACTACACTCACTTGCGGATATCCTATAATGTCTATTTGGCAGTATATTCTATTGCCCACGCCTTGCAGGATATATATACCTGTACTCCTGGGAAAGGACTCTTCACTAACGGATCCTGTGCAGACATTAAGAAGGTTGAGGCATGGCAGGTAAGTCCTTCATTTGTGTGCCTATACAATAGACTTGCAGAAAAAAAGACAAGCTGTCCAGGAGCTCTGATGGTGCCTTTCACAATCCTGGGGCTCAGACACAGCATCAGGCTTCTGGGATGTAGCATATCATTGTGTGCAAGTGAGGTGCACGCTCCCACCCCAGAAGGAATGTCAGGTAAGTTGTGTTAGGTTTGCCTGCAGTGAGAGGGGCTTAAACTAAGTTAAATTTTCTTGCATTCATTACGGGCCAAAACTGCACACACAGACAATTACCACAGCCTGGCTGACGCAAGGTAACCTGATCATATATTGAACCCTTACATAAACAAGAGGGCTTGGAGAGAGCACATAAACAAGGAAAACAGTTTTTAGAGTTCATTTCCTTTGGCAAGCTCTATGTCTTTTGCAATCCCACAGCAATTTTCCATACAGGCCCTATTTTTTTTTTCCACGGTTTTAAGCTTATATAGGATCAAACTAAAGCAGGTTGAGTAATGAAGGAGAATAACATGTGGCTATTGGGCAAATAATAGATACCTGCTTTGATTTAGCAGTGATATTTGTCAACTGATAAAAGGATTATAACGACTCAGTCACATTTACCCATTTGTTTGATGCATTCTGCCCACTGGCATCCGGATGGGATTCTGCCATTTTGTCTTCTGATCCTTTATGAATACTCTATACCTTACCATATGTCTGATTGTGCTATCCGATGTTACTATTCAGTATCAGTTTTTAATATCTGCTGCATTCTTAAATAACAGAATTAGCTTGTAAGGCTAATGTATGCATATATGCCAAATATGTAGCAAATTCTGTTTGCCCAGTTCTGGTCGTCACAGAAAACTTGGAGCCAAACATACTTGAAATCAGAAGAACACAGATGAATATAAGGAGGATCAGATCCCTGTTTGCATGTGTAATTTCCTGTATTTGGGATAGTCTAACCAAGATGAAGGCTAACAGTGCCACAAACTTTGTGGGTGTTGGGTCAGATTTGCACGTGGGAACTGCAGTTTGGTTCCTGTTTTGTCTCAGTCAACTCAAAACCATCAGTCAAATGAAAGTAAAAGGCTTTGTCTTGGCATTTATGGGAAACCTGCATTGCTTTAGGTGCCTGATTTGGGTTTACCAAAACCACTTCACTCGGAGTTGATAAGTGCAGGGTTTGACCCTGGTTTTGGGGAATCCTGTGGTCGCTGGCTCTCGCTGAGGTTTCTGTCTTTCAAAGCCATGCTGCTTTTTGGGAGCTTACGGGCAGAAGTCGGCAGTCACAGACAGATTTAGCTTTCACCAAGTCAGTAAAAATGATCCAGAATAAATATATTTTTAATTTTTTCCCTTATGTCTTGTCAACTTGGAAAGTAAAGCAAGATATTCATACCACAGCTAAGTCAAATAATGTGGTGCTTGTTGAGGATTCCACAATTGGGAAGAACGTCCTCTCATTTCTTTCTGGTACTGAAGGATGGCTGTATCAAAATGTAAGGCATCCTGCTTCTCTGGGCTTGTGGGTATGCCTGCTTGCCTTGAAGGAGGGAATCAGCATCAGCAAAAAAAGTATATGGGGGATAACGACTGGGTAGGAATAGCAGGTGCTACAGAGAAACAGGCTGTATTTGAAATGACCACCATTCTGTGATGTTGGCTGTCAAGCATATTTGATATTTGTGCATCTATTCACTTCATTTCAAAATCAAACACATGAAGAGCAGGTAAATGCCAAGTATGTGTGCACATCTACTTCATATCAGGCATTACGGCTCATTACCCTCGGGAAGCTTTCCTCAGCTCCGGGGGTAATGAGTTCACCTCACAAACATGCATCCTCCAGCATCTCCAGAGAGTGGTTTTCTGATAACCAGGCAGAAGAAAACCTTTCTACTAACGATGCTCAGTGCTTGTTTACTCTTTTCAGAATTGGCTCAAGGGTTTCTTGGTAGGAAGAGACCAAAGAGAGCGAGGATGGTGTTAGGAAGCCTCCACACCTGAGACTGGAAGCAGCAGCTGCTAATAGTGTCTGCAATCACTGACCAGGTGGTGTGTGGGACTGATAAGGTGAACCCGGTGAACTCATGGCTCCATTAGCCTGAGCTCCTGTCCCGAGCAGCCCTTGCCAGCGGGGTCAGTGCCTGCCGAGGATAAATGGTGTGCTCCACAATTTAATTGTGTACCATGTAATATTTTTGCCTTTTAATGCTGTTAACGCATTAACACATATGGTTTATTTGTTGTCTGCTAATTGTTAATTTTATGTGCTCAGAATATAAACCTTTTGGGAGGAATTGCTTTATGTAATTTGTGGAGGGTGCTTGTGGTGTCTGTATATAAAAATAATGGTTTTACCTCAGTGATCAGTTCATTTGAATTGGACGTCAGGAAGCCTAGCACAGAATTTGCCATCTACTATTTAAGAAAGCTCTAAGTATGTTTCAGCACAGGGAGCATGGGAGTTTTACATCTCCCAAGCTGAAATGCCAAACACTAGCAACTTTCTTCTCTACTTATTTATAGCTACTTGTTTAAGAAGTTGCTTACTCCTTTTCTCCACGTGAGTCGGTGCTCTGTGACAGATCCTGTCCACAAACCCAGTCTTGCTTCCTTTTGTTTTGCCAACACCTCTGAAGCTGGCAGTGGGCACCTCCACTAGAGATGGATGGGACTGATCAGCCCAAGCCTGCAGGCAGGCACTGTGCCACTCACCCCATCCATGGACCTGCCCATGGGGTTCAGAAAGTAGAAAATCTGGCACTTTCTACTCTCTGAAAGTAGAAAAACTGGCACTTCTGTACTCTACAGAAAATTGCACGCTTTAACAGGATGTCTGTGCTGCCCTTATTCTGAGCAATGCCTGTGGTTGTCATGTTTTAAGACCCTACTCTGCTGAAAGGCAGAAGATAATCCTGTTGCACACCTTTGCAAGATGCCTGCAAAGAGCAGATAGTGTTCTCTGCATGTGCCATTGTTGTGTCCTGCACAATGTTGATTAGATTAATTACTTCTTTTTGCAGTGTTTTGTTCAGGTAACAAAAAGGTGCGGAGCAGTACAGAACAAAAGGTATAGGCAATTTCTGTCACATTTGGAAATGGCAAAATTTTACAGAAAGCACTAAGGATTCAAGCGCATGACTGCAAATAGTACCACAGAAAGAATCCTCTTATAGGGCTCCCGTTGTCACCTCTGATTATCAGATGCCCATTCTCTTTCACTGGCAGGCTGTGAATTTTTTAGGAGACTGCATTGAGTAGGGCTAATTCTGTGTGTTTCCCTGGTTCATGGATTGGCCTCCCCCAAACACAGGCTCTCCCACAAGCTACACAGTAGCAGTTGGAAGATATGGCAAGAACTAGGACACAGGCTCAGGATTGCTGTATTGATGCTGCCTCTTTGTCAAAATGCCCAGCATCTTTAGCTTGTTTCTCCATAACAACTCAAACAGTCTGGTTTTGAAGCTCTTTTTTTCTTAATATCTTCCTTGATAAGATTTCCCAGGTCCCTCAAGTTCTTTCATTTTCTTGGGTTCTGCTCATGTGGCTATTGCCATGGTCACTTCTGACAGCCCTTTGGCACATTTACAGGAGCCTCTCTGGTGTCTCTCTCATTTCAAATACTGAGTGTTCCTGCAAAAAATAGGAGGAAAACAAGTAAGGCATCCTAATCTGTTCTTCAGATCAAATATTACTTTGTATTCTTTCTGTGTGAGAAGAGGAAAATCCTGTCTTTACTTCAGACACAGTTCACTCCGTGTTTCTGCCCATTCATTTGGCTTCTTGATGATTGCCAACAAGCAGCTGATGGGCCTCTCTGTCTCACAATAAAATGGGGGAGACAGGCTCCTGTGGATTTGAGAAGGCAAAGGTGAGCAGTTACAGGGTCACAGAGCAGAGCATCCTTAGGTGGACTCCCAGACTATTTGCAGGTTGTGGTTACAGTGGAGGCTGTGAACTTCAGCAGGTTCATGAGAGAAAGCTGGGATAGCTCTTCTAGGCACCAAGTAAAAGCATGCTGTGCAGGCTGAAAAATGTGCTGTCCTAATCATGTAAATTATTCTATGCCTAGAAATCTGATTGACCTCAGACTTAGTGAAAAGCTGCCATATGCTGTTTCCACAAAATAAATGCAAATACAAATCAGCTTCACCTAGCAACACCTAAAGTCTTTTATTACACCTGTGTACCTACCAGCCAGCAGTTCCTTCCTCAGCGCTGGTGATACGCATTAGGAAGAGGTAAAAATGGATTGGTGCCTTCTCCAGCTTTACATTTAGGTATGTCTGGCTGGCTGGAAATTGATCCTGCAAGGCTTTAAAGAGGTGAATGATGCCTTAGATGACACACGTCTCTCCAGACCTTTGAGCTTAAGGGCTTATCTAATCAATTTTGTGTCTGTTGAACTATATGGGCCTATCTGAACAATTAAAGTGGTGTATGGAAAACAGCTGCTTGGTGGTATAGAGAATGAAACAGTATCCGAACAGGTATTAACTGCAGCTGATGTGAAAATTAGTCATTTGGGAAGAACTGCAGAGAGAGGAAGCTGCTGAATATCAGGCAACCGCAAAACTTCACCTGGTCTGCATTACAGATGCACTGGAGATACGTTTGTTATGAATAGAAAGCAAGAGTTTCACCCGTGTGCCTTTGTTGTGGGAGACTGAATTGAGACACAGATGATTTGGGTCGCTCACAGAAATGTGGGGGTCCACAGAGCAACCACAGCTATTTCTCCACAAGGGCAGTAACAGGTGATTGCTTATTCATCAGTTTGGAAATAACAACTTGCCCTCAGCTGAGAACATCACTTGGAAGCTTTTCAACTAAGCAGACAATAAATGGAGTATTATTTTGAGGTCTCTGTAACTAAAAGGAGAAAGACTTAACTGAACTTTACTAAAGGGAGGGTCAGGCCTGTAACACCACCAGTAGAAAATGCCCAGGGAAACCATCACCCCAGCAGGGTTGCTGAACTGCATGCAGCAAATACACAACCTCCA